ATCTATCTATCTATCTATCTATCTATCTATCTCTCTATCTCTCTATCTATCTATCTATCTATCTATCTATCTATCTATCCCAACCTGTGTATCTAGCGATCCCTTCTGCTATAAACCCGTTATTGTCTCCATGAACATCTCGTTTACTCAAAGCTCAACTCAAATGCTTTAAAGGGATCTACTTTGCGAGAGAGAACCGCTCTTCGGCTCGTGGAAAATACAAATGTGAGGCAGCGTGGTAGAATCAGGCTCTCGTCAAAATAATCAAAGTGAAGAAACCTGCATTTTTACGCAGGTTTGTGAATTTTTATCAAAAAAAGTTTTTGGGGCTTTCATGGCCATTAAAGAATTCATTTCTGTGGGGATTTTCTGAAAAACGTTGATTAAAGGCATAAAAAAAATAATTTTCAGTAAAAACAGGCTCTTAAGCTAAGGAAATAACTAATCTTTGGCGGCCATTTTCTCACTAATTTTACCTCTGAAAACAGATGACCCCCACCTCCCTCAATTGCAATCTCGACTTGTATTCAAGATAAATGGATACTTTTTTCATCCAAATAAAGACAGGTGAACAAGCTTTAAGATGATACCAATAACTCTACATGTCCAAAAATTGACGAGAGCCTGATTCCACCACGCTGCCTCACAAATAATTACCCTGGTGGGAATTTAAAAGGAGCAATTATAGCGGAGTTCTGATGGGCCTCGATCAATCGCTGTGAAAACATCAGCTGATGAGACATACAGATCAGATATAATAGAAATACTTATTTCAAGATGCTTCTTACAGTGATCTGAATGTTTGTGTGGAATTTGAAAAGCTTTTAACAGTTCTAAATGTGTGTTTGGGTATAAAAATGTTTTCTACAGTTGATCTAAATGTTCGTATACATATAAAAGTTTATGCTTTTTACAGTACATAATATAGTTGTAAATGTTGGTGCACATATAAAAATGATTCTTTCACCGTAGTTCTAAATGTTCGCATGTATATAAAAACGCTTCTTCAAAAAATATTCTTTACCTAAATGTACATACAGATATATAATTAATGCTTCTTACATTTGTTAACGTTCGTCCAGGTATATAGAAACGCTTCATACAGTTCTCAATGTTTGGTCCCTTTAGTGGGGTTTTTTAATTTTTTTTTTTTTTGGGGGGGGGTTGGGAAGGGG